GCACACCCAGATTCTACCTTTATTTAAACAGGTAAATATCATTGAGCCTCGAGGACTCATTTACAAGAGAGACCTGAAAGCTTATGTGGCAGCGGTGGGAAGATACCTGAAGAGTTCAGGTATCTGGGTGTGCTGCTGAGGTGAAGACTCCCCCCAACCTGGAGGGGCCATTCCACCCATTTCCTGTCTCTTTCCAGTTTTCCATCTATCCATCCATCCGTCCATCCATTATCTTTTACCCGCTTCTTCCATTTTGGGTCACGGGGGTCGCCGGTGCCCATGTCCAGCAACCACTCTGCGAGGGGCGAGGGACACCCTGGACAGATCTCCAGTCCATCACAGGGACACATGGAGACAAACGAGACAAACAACCATTCACTCTCTCACTCACACCTAGGAACAATTTAGAGTTACCAATCAGCCTAACATGCATGTTTTTGGTCTGTGGAAGGAAACTGGAGTACCCGGAGAAAACCCACGCATGCACGGAGAGAACATGCAAACTCCACCCAGAAAGGCCCCTGGACTGGGATTTGAACAGGCAACCTTCTCGCTGAGAGGCAGCAGTTGTGCCACCGTGCTGCATCTTTCCAGTTTTCTCCTTAAAATTATGTGAATATTACTTTTCTCAAGTGTCAACATGAATCCCTTTCAGATCTTTGGCTCAGACTTTCCCTAAAATTAGCCTTCAGTTGGACAACTAACGTAACTTTTCTCCTCCAGATTTCTTCGACCTTCAGCTTTCTTCTCCTGACTCCCCATGTTTTTTGTCCTTGCTCAGCTGACACGACAACAGTACAGTGACCAGGTGTGTGTTGTGTGTTCTTCTCTCAGGGTGCTGTGATCACCCCAGCGGCGACCATCGAGCCCAGTTTGACTCTTCATCCCTCCAGTGTAATGACTCCTCTCACCCAGCAGATGAACCACCTCTCTCTGGCTCCCACAGGCGCTGTGAGTCTGTTTTATCACACTAATGATGCACAAGTAGAAATGCTGAGGTGCCCTCACTGCTTGATTCAGTCTAAAGCCTCACAGTGATATTTTACCTGCTCGTTTCCTGCCTCGTCTTGTCTCTGCAGTACCTCTCTGCTGCAGCGGCTGCTCCTATGCAAGGAACCTACATTCCCCAGTACACTGCAGTGCCTGCCTCTGCCATCACAGTGGATGTAAGGACAAAAACACACTGTTTGGTGACTTTTAGTGGCTGTTTTGTAGGGAGTACTTATTGCATTACTATAAAGACAAACAAATATCAAACTGTGTTTAATCCGTATCATAGTCTCTTATAGGAAATGTCTGAGTTACAGTAAGTGTTTGGTCATTTAGTTTCAGTCAGAATGGCTAAAACTTTAACAAAATATATTCAAATGTCTGTGTCACATACAGGTCCTTCTCAAAACATTAGCATATTGTGATAAAGATCATTATTTTTCATAATGTAATGATAAAAATGAAACTTTCATATATTTCAGATTCATTGCACACCAACTGAAATATTTCAGGTCTTTAATTGTTTTAATACTGATGATTATGGCATACAGCTCATGAAAACCCAAAATGCCTGTCCCAAAAAATTAGCATATCATAAAAAGGTTCTCTAAACAAGCTATTAACCTAACCATCTGAATCAACGACGTAACTCTAAACACCTGCAAAAGATTCCTGAGGCTTTTAAAAACTCCCAGCCTTGTTCATTACTCAAAACC